AAAAAATAAAACATCCAATGCTCCAATGTAAAAAACAGCAAAGACAAGCTTACATGTGTACGTGATACCCCTTCTCTCACGTGAGAACACAACGCACGTATTCGTAAATAATGAGGGACGTTGTGGGAATCACACGTTTCCTGTGAATATGTTCTTTGAGAGTGTCAATTTATCACTTCCAAAAAATGTTCTTACTTTAGAACGACTTATTTCTTGCTTTTTTTTCAAACATATTTCTGTTCTACGAAAGCACCGGGAACGAGAAAAACACTCTCACGAAACATTACCAAACAGGACCTTAATTAATTAATTGATATGGAGATAAAACGTGGGGTATGTTGCTGGTTTATATCAGCTAAAATTAATCATTCTAACATTAGTTATTTATGCATCTCTAATAATTTGCTTTAATTACCATCTAAAGTTGGGCTATATATTCCCAGTTGTGGTTGTTTAGAGTTTTTTTTTTCTTTTTTTTTTCCTTTTTGGAGGATGAACTCATCTTCTAGAAGACATAAATGAATCCATTGTAGGTGGTCTCTCTGTAATCCTGGAAATAAATAATTCACCACAAAGGCCTTTCTATGTGTGCAAAATAGATACTCTTTTATGATAATTTTATTAAATAAAGCAAGAATTAGATAACTTTGATTGGGCAAAATTACTATCTTGAGATGAGATGCTAACAAAAGTATATATAAATATTTACATGGTTCAGTTTGTAGCCTGTCTGCATTTGTTTGTGATGTAAATGCAAATCGACGTAAAGTTCCACCGTCGATTCATATTTGTTTGCATTTATTTTCAGTGTAAATATGAATTAGTGTAAAACTCCAACTCCCACTCTGTATTTTTCTACAGGCTTCTCTAATTAGCTAGGGGTGAGGCATTTGGTTTGTTCGAATTCAAAATCAAATCAAATAAACCAAAATTTAAATAACTTAACTTGTTAAAATGAAAATTGAACTGTAATCAAATTTTGGAAAAACAAAAAACATCTAATAAAAATTATTATTCAATAATTATATATATATATATATATATATATATTATTATATATATTACACATTTAAAAGTTAATTTTTTGGGGTTATATCAGATAAAGGCAACTTTTAGGCCCTAATATCAATAAAAGTAATATATTTAATAAAATTTCAAAAATAAATTAACTTTTTAAAAATAATCTCAAAAAGGGGCAAAGTTATTGTCCATCTTCCTCTTCTTGTAGCAGAGCTGTCCACCACCGCCTCCAGCATGTCTTCGACTATCGTTTCCACATCCAACTGTCATCTCTAATGATCGAGAAAGCATCGCTGATAGTCGGACACCAGCAAGTAAAAATAGATCGAATTACCCTAAACCCTTAACTTAAGTAACTGATTACCCTAAACTCTGGCAGTCTCTGCCAAGACAACATGGATTGGATCCATCCATGGATACGTGACTCCTCCTTTATTGGAATAGAGATGGAAAGTCTTCTCCGACACCCCTTCCAATACCCCACACGATACCCTCAGAGGTGTAGAAGATGGAAATGAGTGATGATGATTCCTTTCCACTGCATCTGTTAATGGCTCTTGTGATCTTTGGACATAGAGAAACACCATTACCAAAGCCAAAACAAAGATCCCACTCAACAATATAGATGATATCACTTTTATCGGTCTCTGGCCAGGCACCAGAGTTCCCTCTTGTTCAACTTCATTGTGCAGAGGGTTGTAAGAGTATGACACGACACGTTCGAGGTCGGGACAGATCTGGAAGGGATCGGTGTACATGGTGATGCTGGACGTCATGACGGTGATGATGACAATGACGGCAATGCTGATGCTGATGGTGGTATTCCTACCAGAACCTACCTGTTGTGCATATATTTATATATGTTAGAAAGAGAGAGAAGGTCGATGAATTAGAGAATGTCTCAGATAAGGAGGTGGTCTGCAGATCCTCATTCGTCTTTGATGCATTCACCTTTTCTGGGACTGGGTCTATGGGTGAGGTGTTCTGTGGTTGGTTAATTTTCATGCTTGATTGGAACTGAGAGAGACACAAGGTGTGTGTGTGTTCCTGTGCTCGGGGCACGTTTGAGTTATCGGATTTTTTCTCGATCGTCGGAGATGACAGTTGGAGGCGGTTGTCAAAGACGACAGTAAGAAGCGAAAACGACAATCGAAGACGTGCTAGAGGGGGCGGCGGGCAGCTCTACTAAAGAAGAAGATGATGAATAATAACTTTACCCGTTTTTAATATTATTTTTAAAAAATTAATTTATTTTTGAAATTTTATTAAATATATTACTTTTATTGATATCAGGGCCCAAAAGTTCCTCTTATCTAATATAATCCCTTTTTTTCAATTAACTGCACTTTCTGTTTTTTTCGATGGCTAACAAGGCAAATCATTAAGACTGGCTCAAGTACAATCGTTATCAATACAAGATTGTAAAAAGAAGGGCAGAATGACCAAGTCTGCAACCTATGAAGAAGTCCATACTTCGATAAACAATGTGCAGCTGAATTGGCAGACCTTGGGACAAATTGTACTGAGCAATAGGAGAATCTTCTCCAACAGAGCTCTATCACCAATAAATCATCTCAAGATATGCGAAGTTCTATAAAAAACTTAGGCTGTGTTTGGAAACGATGCCAAACTTGGGTTTGGCAACATTATATTTATGCATTGACAGAAAACATATTTTTCAATGCATAAAAAGTACATCAATGAATAGAAGTAAATTTGGATTCAAGTGGGTTTTTGATAAAAAAAAAAAAAAGTAAAAAGATATACTTTATTAGAATTTTTGTATTCATTATAGCTAAAAGTCTGTTTGGTAAAATGATAAATTTGTCACTGCAAAACTAATTCAATATTACAATTTATATGAACCATTTTACACTCTACATATTTACATTCACACTTATATGCACTATTTCCAAATGCAACCTTAATACTTTCAAAAAGTGCTAGCCTCAGCTTCAAGAGCCGAACAAGGAGGGATTTGCATAGCGCGAGCATAGATAAATTGACCATTGGAGTCTCAGATAATGAATTAACTACATTTTCAAATGTCATAACTGAAACCCAACCGATGATCTAAACAACTGAAACTGAAATTTCGTTTTGCTTTTTCGGTTTTAACTTAAAATATGCTCAATCCTACCTCAAAACACATTCAATTTAAAACACAAGTTTCAGTCAAATCTTTGCCGCATGTATAAAATAAACGCTTTTTAGGGCACTTTTTAATTAAAAAAAAATTATAACTTTTTTATTTTTAATTAAAAGTTGAGGGAAAGTTGTTAATCAAGTTCACAAAATTATATTCCTTTCCTCTCTTATTTTCTATCAAACATTAATCAAAGATAGCATTTGTGAAATCTTGGTCACTAGAGCATCTGACATGTTAATTAATGGAAAGTGAATATGTGAAATCCATTTAGCGCTGGTCTGTGGAGATAGTCTATGATGTCAATTATCAAATGGATTGATGGTCTCGACTCTGGACTGTCCTGTCCACATCTCTCTAGGGAGAAGGAATGTTGTGGAATCCAAAATAAACTGTGTTCTGCTTGGGTCAATTTCGCTTCTTTTCTAAACTTCCTAAGCCCATCTCAACCATGATGCGTGGAGTAGGGATTGGAGCCCCTAGGTTCTCAAATATATATATATATATATATTATCTCTCTCTTCTATATCTTTTGACACCTTAAAAATAACTTGTATCATATCCTGTTAGCCCATGTTTTGATCATCATGTCATAGTTACAGTATAAATTATAAAACCCACCGATCCGGTGCTGGTAGTTTGAAGTTCGAATACCAGAGACAAATAAGTAACAAAATACTCCACTGTACGCAACTACGCATCTATGCTTAAGTTGGATTTTGTACACGATGTGAAAAATTGAAGTGGTCAAATGCCAAGAGTCAAAGCGTTCTCTGTAAACCAATCTAGTATCTACACCTTAAACCACCGCTGGCCGCTGGGACTACGGCCACCAGTGGTTCTGTCTGCGGTTCAACCATTCAATTAATTCAGCCTTTTTATGCTGTTGGTTGTTGGATAATATTGTCAACTTAGCTCAAACATTCTTATGTGGTTTAATTGATGGTTCAACCAAGTGGGTCCGGAGCACCATAACAGTACTCCGGAAGTAGTTTGTCCGAGTGTGACATTTCTATAGCTTGTGACGAATCCACAGTTCCAACTCCCACAGAATTTCTTCCCCAACTGCGCGCCAAGGGTTCAGTTGAGAGTTGAGAGCGCTGCTGATCTCAAACAAGGTTATCTTTAAAGAAGATTAATAGGCTAGCTCGGGGGTTCTGGGTCACTCAACAAACACCCTTAAAGCCCTATGATTTGCCACATGTCCTAATTATATATATCACAAAAACTGAATCCAAAGGTGTGCTTTTGCTGCAAACATTTTTAGCTGGGCATAGAGCTAGTGATGCTCCAGCCAAACACGTGGCAAATTCCGAGGGCCCCAGCTGATTGCAACTAGCTAGGCGTCCTGTTGCCATAACATCACAAATATAGAAGCATGTCTAGAGAGAGAAGAATGGGTCATTATTACCAACTGAACACGCCTGGCTCTACCCAGGTAGATGTCAACCACATAAACTCATGAAGCTCTGTTATTTAAGAACCCACCACTATGAACTGACAGACACACAACTCTCTCTTAATTCTTCTCTTCTCTATACATTACCCGTCTCCCTTGTGAGTACTGTGTCAATCTCTTCCTTTCTCTCTCCTCTCTCCTCTCTCCTCTCTCCTCCTTTCATGTAGACAGTGCCAACCTTGCCACATACACCCTTCCGCCGTCCCTATGTTTCTAGCAAAAATCTAAATTGATTTTCATATTCAACTCGATCCAATGTTCTTTCAATTTGTTGTTGCTCCTGGAAATAAACTAAAAAAGCAAGAGCTAAAGATAAAAATGGTTAAATAATTTGATCTGGTTTTTACACCGACTACTCCTTGACGACCAGCATTCATGGAGAGAGAACTAGAAGAACAGTCAAATATGAACCAGAAGTCCAGGTCTAGTTCGGGGGGAGCTGATGAAGTAGTCAACCAGCCGGCCGTGAACTTTGCTGCAACAGCTGATCCAGTTTGGATGAAACCCCAACGACCATCATCACCAGCACCTTATCCTCCTCCATCAACTGCAAGTAATATCTTTCCTGTTCCTGCAGCTCAACAAGGAATACCAATTTATCCTCCTCCAACACCTCCTCTGGACCTGCCACAGCAATGGAGCACAAGCCTATGGGCGTGTTATGAAGACCCAGAAAACTGTACGTAATCAGCACCATTTCATAACAATTAAAGGGCTGTTTGTTAAGTCTTTTTGCGGTATTTTTGGTTTTTCAAAGCTTGGAAAGACTTTATTTGGCCCCATTTGCTGTGTCTTTTTACGTGGGCTATCGGTTTTTTAGAAGTCCGGCAGTTTGCATTTTGGTCTTTTCCCATTTAGTTGGGAAAAGATTTAGCCACCAAAAACCGCAGTTCCAAAAAAATGCGAAAAACCCAATTTGGGTTATTTTTGGAATGTTTGTCTTTTTTTCAATTCATCTTTACACGGAAAGACATGTAAATAAATACATCCAATAACCAAACGGCCTTCAAACTGTTAAGATCTTAATGCAAAAAGTCAAATAATCTTTTGGCTATTAGAGCTTCCATAGGATCTTTCCAAAAGAAACTTACTAGACAACCAAAATTTGGGCTGTTTTTTTCCCTTTGGCATTGAAAGACAGGAAACCGAAAAAAGCCCACGACAGTTAGACCATGATAGACCAAAATGCTTAGGAAAACAATCTTGATTTTCAAAGACACATGACCCCAAAAGAGAAAAGACCAGTACGTCGTCTTTTGGTGGACAGTCGGAATATTTTCGTAAAAACGACTTGTCAAACAGCACCTAAAGTATTGTCTTTCTTGTCTTTATAATTTAGTGACATGTCTGCTATCTGTATTGTTTTTTCAAGGCATCGTCACCGGTTTCTGTCCCTGCGTTACATTCGGCCGGATTGCCGAGATATTGGATAGAGGAGGCACAAGTGAGTACTTTCATGCAACTAATTAACAATCAGTACTGGAACAAAAGGAATTAATACCTGGTCAGATCGGATCTTGGTTCAGACCCATATAATAAGGTGCTCTCTTCCATGAGAAGAATAAGAGAGGGGTGGGTTCAACCCATCTCGTTATAGATCATTATTTAGGCTGTTTTTGGTTTCACAGAAAACAACTAGAGAGAAACAAACAGTTGATGCTAAGTTTTTTAGGAATTACACAAATTTCTCTCTTATTTTATGTCAAACCAAACAGTTGAACATCACTGTATATAAAAGGCAAAATTTTCAGTTTTGGATATATGATTCCTACCATTTCATGCATTGATCCATGCATCCATGTAGTTGTCATTCAATTCAATTGATAGAACTGCCAACCCAACTAAAGGGCCATCGATTAATCCAACCATGCATGGTTGTGTTTGAAGAGAAACTAAACATAAAAATCATCAATTGATTTTCTCAGTTTCATCATATGCAGCTTGGGCCAGTGCAGGTGTGGCATTTTTCCTCTTGTCGTTTATCGCAGGCTTTCGAAATCGATACTCACGTGGATACAGAACCAAATTGAGGAGATTATATAACCTGCAAGAAGCTCCATACCCGGACTGGCTCGTTCACTTCTTTTGCTCAGAATGTGCTCTCTGCCAAGAGTACAGAGAGCTCAAGAATCATGGCATTGATCCTACTAAAGGTATCGCTCGTTACTCCACAAAACTACCCACATATGTGGTTTAGTCTTTTAGATCTCATATTGAACCCCGACTATATTTTGTTTCTCCGAGTTTGGCAAGTAATATATTTATCTTTATATCCGTAAGTGCATTTATTCATGTTCTTTTATTTTTTAGATAAATAAGAAAATAATAATTTTAATCATAAAAAATCATTATTAAAAAAACTTTTTCTGAAAAGAGAAATTCTATTACACTAGAATTTATATTCTTTTGAATTTACGTCTGTTATCGTTGAGCCCTTCTTTAGATTCATAAATAGAAGAATCCCTAACTTCCTAATAAAGAAAAGAGAAACAAAAATAGATTTATAACCAAACAATAACAAACCCTTAACGATTCTCTGCACATTTACTCCAACTCATGTTGCTTTGTTATTGATCAAGATTGTTGATTTACTTGTGTTGGTTAATATTTTAAGGTTGGCAAGATGCTCTGGAGAGACAGATGAAAGCCGGTGTCATAGTGCCGCCAACTGTTGAAGGAGCCATGACCCGTTAAATGTCACAGCAGAGCTACAACTTACCTCTTGCTCTTCTTTGTGTTCAATGTGTTTGTGTTTGTGGGTGTGGGAGATTGACGTACTGATATTGCATGAATTTTATGTATCAGTCAACCTAGTTTTCAGTTTGCCGTGTCTGCATATACAAATTGCTTTTGGAAGTGTAATGTTGTCTATAGCTTTATTATATGTATGGTTATGAACGAATGAAAGTCAAAAAGGTGTTTGGATGTGCGGCTTTGTTCTGTCTTTTTCATTTGTTTGTTTATATGTATCCATGTGCACTCGCCCATATGTGTGTCAATATTTAATTGAGTCCAGCCTGTGGGTCTCGTCTTGGGTTAGTATTTGTCGAAAGTCGACACCAAGTCCAATTATATTTTGGGCCCTAGACCAGACTTGAGCCCAGGATCGGCCCTGACCCAATATCTATGGGCTTGGTTGGTCCCAATCGGGAAAGGAAGAGTTTGCTTCGAGACAGCCTGACTCGAGTTACAGCCTTATTTAGAGCACACTGGACTGGGCTACTTGTGATCATCAATACTATGGTTTATAGGTCTACAAAAAAGATTGAGAGATCTATTTTAGAGAAGGCAAAGATGGCTCCTTTTATCCAGGAAAACAAGAAAAAGAAAATTTGGCCTGACAAGACAAAAGCTTTAGGGTTCATTTGGTTGGGTAGAATGGGATTCCGATTTCCATTCCTAACAGAATGGCATTCCTCCGTTTGAGAGAATGGCCATTCTGGCCTCCCCCATAACCTATTTCTCTCTACCCAACACAAATCTTCCTTAGGAGTCATGCATATCTTGTGGAATCCCACTCGAATTCCAACTCTAGGGGATTTTGATTTCAATTTCAAATAATAAACCAAATTAACCCTTATTTTTCCATGATCAAGAAAAGTACAAATCTTCTTATTCTTCTTCCATGCATAAAGATGACTCTTTGAAAGCTGAGATGAAAAGGTTTATAGCGTGGGGAGTGTGGGGTGCATAATGATGACTCTCTGAAAGCTGAGATGAAAAGGTTTATATCATGGAGAGTGTGGGGTGCGAGAGGCAGTATTTCCTCAGTGAAAGGACATATATATATATATATATATATATATATAT